TCGAGATCATAATGCATATGCATGTACGTACAGTGGGTAGGGAGGGAGGGAGGCAGAGAGGTAGGTAGGTAAACAAAGGTACCATATAAACTTGGGGGGGGGGGGGGGGGGAAAGGAAAGGAAACCGACAGATGTATGTACTGTACGTACGTACCGTAATCTTTAAACTTGGACTCCAGCGTCGCCTGCCTCTTGTAATAAATGTCGTCGAGGAACATGCCGTCCATGCTACTGATCTTGATGGCACCGGGCTCGCTGAGATAGCCAAACGTGTTGAATTGGCCGGCGTACACGTCCCCGCGTTCCGAGGTGGTGATGTTGAGCACCTGCACGACGAACTGGTTGTTCCACCAGGCGAGAATGTCGGCGCTGCGCTTCAGCTGCGGCGTGGCCCCGACGTCCTTCCACTTGTCGTCCGGGTCGTTCCAGCGCGGCGAGGGGATCGAGGCGGGAATGTCGGCGAAACCGCCGTCGTCCCGTAAAAAGCCGTCGTCGCCAGACATGGAGTTGGAGGCGTTGGCGTTGACGGAGAAGTGCAGGCTCAGGTTCGTGTTGGTGCACCGCGTCTCCGGGACGATCCAGAGAATGTCCTCCGTCCAGGTCGCGCCGAGCTCGAGCCCGCCGGGCACGGTGTGGTTGCGGATGCCGACGCCGCCGCTGAACGCGTCGATGATCAGCCCGTTCACCAGGTGGTAGCCCTCGTTGAGGATCATGGACGGGAGCACCTCGAGACGCCCCACCGCCCGGCTGGCGTTGTTGTCCACGTACCAGTTGTTGACGAGGTTGTAGGCGCGGAACTCGATGTCGAGAAGGTTGGCGACGGTGCCGATCTTGGTCCCGCTGGTGAAGAGATCTCGCGTCACGTCGGGAATCGTCGAGTTGATCACCGTGTGGTTGGGGTATCGGTTCCTGACCGCCGGGTCGTCGTAGATGGAGTGCGGGCAGTCCATCCATTTCTGCCAGCCGCACCGTCTATTGACGCCCTGTCGGTCCAGGGTCGCCATGCCGTAGTACGAGGGGTCTGTGAACTACATTAGCTCTGATGCTCGCTGCAGCTTTGAATTATATCAAGCGGAGGTCGTCAGACTTCACACACCTGGGACGTAAAAGAACTCGACGTCATGCAGCCCGCGAGACGGATTGATCCTCTCCAAGAGCGGCTTCGGGGTGAGAAAGTTTGCGACGACAAGACACACGGTCGCCAGAGTCACGGTTAGGGAGATGCCAAACACGCGCCAGCGGACCATTTTGCCCGTAAAGTTGCCTGCGGCGCCATCGCTCTGCAACAGCAGCGGCCACCACGAACTCTGGAGGAGATGGCTGATCGAGGACCATGTGACGGCGTCGAAGGAGCGGTCGCGGACGATGCCGACCAAGACAAACGCAAAGAGCAGGGGGATCAATATGTGGACTATTCGGTGTTAGTTAAATCAGAGCAACAGCGGTAGTTGTCAGGGGGGTTATGAGCCTTACGCAGTGAGATGCACCCAGAGATAAGACCTGCGACTTCTCCGACGGTAAGATTAACTTCGAACATTCTTGTCGAGGGGTATGTTCAAGACGGATGAACGGGTCAGGAAGAAGAAGGCCTCTTTTGGACAAGCCACAGCTTCATGGGGGAAGAAAGCGACGGTAGAAAGTCCAATAATGATTGTAATGAATCTTGAAACCACTCTCCTACCTTTCTATCATTGTCTTCTAATTCTAGCTGAGCGGAGAGGACGACACAGACTCGCTGGCAAAGTCGAGGGAGAAGGGACTTTTGGAGCGGTGCACAAGTGAGTGAGGTTGTGAGGGTGTGGGCCAGAGACCCAGAAGCCAGCGGTGCCACCAATGAAATAGAAGGAAACAAGCCCATTTTGGGCAATACGAACAGACTAGCCGGTTTGGGAAGCCTTCGCAGTGGCTCGCTCCGCCACGCGCTGTGGATTGGGACTCGGGGAGACTTTGTATTGACTTTGTGGACAACCACCACAGCTTCTGGATCCCAACCGCATGGCAGTGTGCTCGGTGTGGCGCGATGGACTTCCATATCGGGGTGAGATATTTTCTTGAAGGTGGAAACTAGTGTGTGACTGGCATTGCAGCCTGATGGCTCGAGTCGTCTGTTCTGGACTCACTTGTGCAACAGTGGTTTCAGTCCCGATCTGACACCGGTGGATTGGTTCTGTGTCAGTCCCCCAGCCAGATATCCGGGTGTACGTATCTTATATCTTAGGCTTTCGTCAATGACGACTTGGTCAAGTACAAGCACACATACACACCATTCACAGCGTACCGATGCCCGACATGTTGCGTGCACTCTTGTTGGTCCTCCAGACATGTTCCCTCTCCATCTTGATCAGGGGCAGTGTGGCGGCCGACATCAGCGATCATGAACTCGGCATCATTCTCGAAAAACGACAAAACTACACCTGCAGCAACCAAGGGCTCCAGGACGTCTGCGAAACAAACTCTGCAGACTGCATAGCTGCCATGTGCGAGTCATGCTCTGGCTATGTCTTTATCGCCAACTGCTGTGCCCTGGCCAGCTACACGGCGATGTTGCAATGCCTTCTCGAGGTGCAGAGTGACCCCTCCGAGATCACCATGACCGTCGGGTCGACAGCGACAAGCAACAGCCCCGACACGAGTACCCTCACGGCACCATCCAGTGCGGTACCCTCCCTCGGCATCAGCGGGTCGGACGCGTGTTCCGCTTTTGAAGAGATTGTGCTTGGGTGCGAAAGCGCGACGCCGGGCTTCTCGACCGAGGCGTTCAGCCGACAGACAAGCTGCCTGTGCTACAGCAACGGCACGTATCAGCCTGACCTTTACGACGCCATGTTCGCAGGCTGTCTCGCCTATCTTTCCACGGCCACGCCCGCAGAGTACTCGAGTATCACCACTGGATCTGTTGATTTCGCACCGTGCAAGAATGCGGCAACCACCACCCAAACGCACTCGTCTTCTAGCACCCATTACATTGGGTACACAACGACCAGCACGTCGGTAGCTGAGTCTACCTCGGCCACACCAAGCAGCGCAACACCCACAGGACCCACGCAGACACCAGAGCCGGATAGCAATGGAAGCGCGGGCCTAGCCTTGGTAAGTCGGACCCAGAACCCTCGCCTGTTCTTTCCCAGCCGTTACTTGAAGAACTCAGCTGAGTCCGCCAAAATCAGAATCGCCGGACACTAGGTTGGTTAAGTTGGTGTTTGGGGGGTTGTGTGGTAGCCGCATTATTGTAAAGTATGGATTTTGAACCTTGCCAGGTTTAGCGATCGATGCATTTGTGAACCAACATTACAAATGTTGTAGATGGAGACATTTTTCGACCAGGATATAACCCACACTGAGTGTGAGGGGACAATTCAGCCTCTGAAGACTTAAAAACTGCGCCAAACCATCCTTGGCTCCTTGGGTCTTGGGGACGGGGTTAAAGTGCGACAAGAAGCCCAAGCATGCACAAGACATGGAATCTGGACTGGGCAGGCCGAAGCCTAAAAGTGACTTCTTCTCGTATTCGCGTCGTTTCGGTGTTAGCGGCACCACCAACGCAAGTGGTTGGCGTGGTTGGGTACCTTTGTAAGTAACCAACGCCTCTGTTGGGGGAGCCGAGCCGTGTGAACAGCGAGTCAGTAAGTCAGGCTGAAGAGTGTTCTTTTTTTGGACCCAGTGCCACGACTGTGTCACGACATAGATTGTTACCAGGGATTTGTATCTCGGATTCGGGTTGATGCAGGAACAAGCATCCCTCAAGGCAGACCATGGTCAGTTTGGGAGTGAGAGAACAAACCTATTTGACATGCTTGACATGCCACCCCTCATCACAATGAGGCTGAGAATGAAAATCTAAGCAGCGGGGTCCCTGTTCGGTTGCAAAGATGAGCTTCGTTCGGTCTAGTTAGTCCTGCAAGGGCATGGTCGGGTGCAGAGTTTCCTGGCCTCGAAAGCCTCTACAGGTGTGGTCTGATCATTGGTTGCACAGACTTGGAGCTGGCTTTTGCAGACGAGGTAGGTAGGGAGGCGGCCTGAGACACTCCGAGCTGTACCTCGTACTTGGTCACCGGTGACTGTACTCAAAAGGTAGAAGCCGCCTTTTACCGGTGTTCTGATCGGCTCCCCCCTTGTGCCTCTTCTGGTTCTCGGCGTAGGGAAATGGGTTTGTTGGTTCGAGAAGCCCTGTTGTTGGCAGCCTGATCGAACAGTGAAGATGGATGAGCCGTTGCGTTACAAGTAGACGGGCGAGACGGACAAGTCCTAGTCGAGGAGGGGCAGGTGACAGCATAACGAGTACATCATCAAAGGTCTGATCAGATTTTTCCCATGGGGGCCAGAACGTCTTTCCTGGTGACTTGCTTGCTTGCCTCGATCTGTCTGTCCTCGGATCTGTACTGGTACAAGTTACTGACTGTGCTACAAGTTAAGTTGTCACATTTTCTTTAGCAGCACCGCCCCGTCCCGCATCTCCATTTCTGTTTCTACAAAGTATGTAGAAACCAAGCAACATACAAGACTTTGAGCAAGCACGGCAAGCTCTCTTGTCACCTTTTACCGACCAAGAACCCACCCTTGTCCTCGAAGCCTTTATCCATCTTTATCCAATCATCTAGTCTCTCAGTGACTGTGCCCCGGCCCCAATGCAACCAAATGCGCCCTGCACAGCCCGCAAGCCGCTAATGCAGGTTATCCCGCTTGCCCGGCCTCAGATACCCCTGCGGTTCCAACGTTTCTGCCTTTCTCTTTCCCCACAGCCTCATGTTGCTCCGATCCGGTTGTTCAAGGTGTTCTAGTAGACCACTACCACTACCACGCGGCCGCATTGCCACAAAGGCTGGGCGACCAGCGGGCTGAGAGAGAGAGAGAGAGAAAGAGGCATAGAGGATATCATCCCAAACTCGTACGTAGCTCGTGTCGGTAAGGCGAGATGAGAGGCTGGCCTTTCTTTCTATAACAATGGGCCAACGCCCCAGCCCTTGGACTACGAATTTGTTAGATGTATGTATGTACAGCAAGTAACCAGACGACCATTGACGCTCGTTTCACATCACATCACATAACAAAGTCATACTTTTTCATCGACACTCACTTACACACCATGAGGACAGGATCTTGGCTTTACGCCGCCGTGGCCATCCTTCTTTCGCAGTGCTGCTGCCTAGCCGCACCTGTGTCTTCCACTAAATCCGAACGAGGGGCATCACTACGTCTACCTGTGAGAAAGAGCCATGTCACAAGAGACCTCCAGCGTCGGTGGGTATCCGCCACGCTCCAAAACGCCGACTACTCGTACCTGGTCGACCTGGATATCGGCACGCCGGCCCAGACAATCACCCTGAGCATCGACACGGGGAGCAGCGATATCTGGGTCTACGGGCCTGGGTCATGCAGCGCATGTACGGGCGGAATATGTAAGTTTCCCTCACAAAAACCAATCACACCAAGACCATTGTTCGGTCCAAGACCCAGACCTGCTCGGACTAACATTTTGGCGACTAGTTGACCCCAGCGAATCGAGCACCGACGTCTACGACGAAAACCTGGGAGCCTTCTCGGCGAGCTATTTCGACGGCACGAGCGCCTCGGGGTACTACGTCGACGACACGGTAGGTTTCGGCTCGGCGACGGTGACGGGCGTGACGTTCGCGGTGGCCACGTCGGCGGCCGGCACGACGCGGGGGATCATGGGCATCGGGCTGGCGGGCCTCGAGGCCAGCGCGGTCAAGTACCCGGAGCTGCTGGACGACCTGGAAGCGCAGGGCCTGATCGACCGGCGGTCCTACAGCATCTACCTCGACGACCTGGAGGCCGGGAGCGGGTTCATCCTGTTCGGCGCGGTCGACGGGTCCAAGTATGCCGGGTCGCTGGTCACGCTGCCCATGATCCCGTACACGGACTCGGCGCCGCGGCTGCAGGTCGAGTGGACGTACCTGTCTGCGACGACGTCGGACGGCAGCACGACGCACCTGACGCAGTCGGGGTTCTCGTACCCGGTCGCCCTGGACACGGGGTACACGACGAGCGTGCTGCCCGTGGACCTGTTCAACGAGCTGGCGACCTACTTCTCCGTCTACACGGACTCGAACGGCAACTACCTCGTGCCGTGCGAGATGCCGTCCGGCTTCTTCAGCTTCGGCTTCGGCGGCGAAGGGTACACGCCCGCCGTGGCCATCCAGGTGCCCTTTTCCGAGCTGGCCGTCCCCGTACCCGGCGAGTCCGGCACCTGTCTGTTCGGCTTCCTCCCCCAGGCCCAGTCCGTCATCAGCTTCGGCGACACTTTTATGCGCAGCGCCTACGTCTACTACGACTTTGACGACTCGACCATCAGCCTGGCCCAGGCGGTGTGGACGTGAAAAAAACGTTTCTAAGAGAGGAGAGGAGAGGAGGGGGAGGGGAGGGGGAGTAATGAGATAATACTGACTACCAAGTGTCGTCGCAAACTGTGAGGTTTTTTTTTTTTGACGAGGGGCATATTCACCTAGGTATCTACTGGGTATCTGGGAGGCTGGCGGGCACGGAAAAACGCATATGTCGTGATGATAGCATCTGTCTGGTCAGGGGCTCACGGGGAGTTTAACAGGCCACAAATCAAAAATACCAATCCGTTAAATTCTCTATCAAACCCTTTCGCCTTAAAGATGGTCAGCTCTGCAACTCCTCGACCAATGTAGCTAGCCGATTCCCCTCCTCCAGACTCGTACCATGTGGTGAATGCAAAGATATCCATTTCCTCCCTCCGGTTGATGGTTCCATTGGGATGAGAAATACGGCTTCCTTCCTTCTCGACCCCGACCACCTCACACGGCATGGTTGCCTTTCACTCGAAAAGAAAAGGTAGGCGCTTGAGCGAGCTATCACTCCAACCGCATCGTTAACCGTCGCCACGTAGCCATGTACACATGTATGCATGCATATAACTATGCATATATACATATATACCTATACACAAATAATCCACAACAAAACCCACGATCGATTTTGTTAGGGCGAACATACCTCTGACAGAACTCGGTGGACCAGGGGTCATCCGGCCCGATAAACGGTGATAGGTCGAGCGAGATGAGGACCGGCATGGCGAGGAGGAACAGGAGGTTGGGGAATGCGGTGAGGTGGAAGAGGGGGAGGACCGGGAGGACCGGGAGGAGGGACAGGACGAGAGATGCTAGAAACGCGCCCGTACCCATATCCATGCCCATGCTCATCGCTAGTGTGGTGTCTCGTCTCGTCTTGTAGCGCACTGGGGGTTCGCAGTTGAGTTGGGTTGCATTCAACGTTGCTGTAGCTGTTGATGCCTAGTGAAGCTGGGATAGGAAAAGGAACAAAGGAGGGATATCCTTGCGCTGGAAACACCGGAAAAGGGAGAATGAGTTGAAGCAAGACATAGCTGCTAAGAGCATTAGATATTAGTAGCAGGGGGCTTGTGAAGACACTGCTTCTGTGATAATCAGACTCAAACAGGTGAGCCAAGTCGTTGGCTTCTGCTGCTATCACAAGAGTAACAGGAACAATCTTCTCGAACCGAATGGTCGACAGGCTGAATAGTGAAGAAGTCCTGCAAATCCAGCGCAACTCTTCTCCCACCATCTGGCAGATTAGGTAGGTGCCTTTAGAAGCCGACAAAGCAATTCCTTTCATGCCGCTTCTATGTCCCTCTCGTTCTTGCGTGCCGTTTTGCTATATCCGAACCCATGTCAACTCGAGTGGCGATACTTGTACTGTCACCAAACCTAGGCTGATGTTGGATTGAAATCGGGCTGTGGCCAGAGCCGCCATTGGAGGACAGAGAAGAACCACAAAAATAGCCGAGCGGATAGTGATACCGGTTGTATCAATTGGCCTTCTCCATGGCCATGGAGCAGGAGGAAGCGTCATTCGGCGTAGAGATTAACGGCCAGCAGCAGCCTTAGTGATGGGTCCTCTGATTATATGCGTCGACACATCCTCCAATGACAGGTGGCACCTAGCTGGCAAGCAGGACCAAGATGCGTCAGCACAAACAGGTCATCGTCGAAATCTCGTTGACAAGTGGCAGGGAACGAGGAAAACTCCAGGTCCTGGTGGTGATGGAAATGGCAACGTAGACCAGCCTAGCCATGGGAGATTTGTTGGCCGTCTCCAGAGGCGTGTCTCTGATGTTCACTGCTCAACTCTTTCCTTCGTCAATCCTTACTCCCTCCACCGCCGTCTCATCCAGGACCACAATCCCGTACGGATCTCTATCCCTTTCGCTGACCACCACTTCCACATTCTCATCATTCAGCATCTCTTTGATCTGCCCGGTCAAACGACTCTTGCTAGCCTCCTCACCTCTCATCTTGGCCCACTCCTCCTTAAGTTCCCTCTCCAACTTTTCCCTCATCACGTTCCAGAGGTACCCTCTCTCGGAGTTTGAGTGGAACAAGGAAATAACACAGCCACCTCGTTCGATGACTGCCAAAGCCTCGTGGTGACTCAGCTCACCTGTAAATATCAAATCCGCCTTACAACCCCGGACCACGCCTCCTCCGCTGCCTGGGCATGTGGCAACACTCGAGATAGCCATCTCGTCGAGATTTCTCCCCTGAGGGATGGCCACCGCAAAGCCTTTGGGAAGGCCGATCGCGTGAGCGATGCGGGTGATCAGAAGGGTCAAGGGTTGCGGTGAAGAAAACTCAATCAACCGCCCAGCCCCAGTGTTGGAGGAGTTGTAGACACTGGACGAAGTAAATTGGTTCGCTGCGTCAAGGGACGCGCGAGGAGACGGGGTAATGACGCTCCGAGTGTGAGGGATTACAGCAGCGTGGAAGTCAGATGTTGGCAGCGGCAGGGCGGGCCTAGAATAGGTCCTGCGCGCATGGCTCGGACGAGAGATCTTCATCTTTGCTCTTGGAGTGGTGAATGGGTCCGTCATTGCGTCCTCGTTGTGATGCGCCGAAGGAGACGTGGGTTTTGTAGAAGGATTGGAACGTATGTCTGAGTCGCTTTCAGAGGTCGTGACTTCTGTATCTGATGGAGCTGAAGCCACTGCATATGCCTCGGGCTCCGGATCGTCTATCTTGCCCGTCACAATATCGCAGAGCCAGTCGGCCATTCCGTCAGGAACCGTGTCAACGGCCGTGTGCGGACAATACACGCTGATGCCATGCGCAAGCAGCAGTGTCATGGACAACTGCTGGGTGTCATCCGTGGTTATGGACTTGAGTCCCCGAAATATTATAGGATGGTATGCCACCACCACCGAGTGATTGTTTTCCATCGCCTCGTCTGCGACTGCTCGAGTGAGGTCGACGGTCAATAGGACCGAGTTGCGATTCCGAGGCCGAGAGGGTATGAAGGGAGCTTCGATCAGCAGACCTGTGTTGTCGAAGGTCTTGTCTGCCAGTGACTCAGGGTAGAGACGGCGCATCGAGGACACCACGGCAGTGGTGAAGGGGGAGACATTGTAGGTATGGGGTTGAGAGGTGCTCATCTTGCGACGGATCAAGAGAGCTTTGAATTTAGGAATATAGACAGCTTGAGTGAGGAAAAATCGAAGCATCAGAAACTTAGTCGAGGGCAGCACATTGTCGGCCCAATCAGTCAATGTGCTGCCAGCTCACGTCGTGTCCAAGAACATGTGGGCATTGGAAGCTGGTGCGTTGGTTGTCGCAGGAAAAATAGAGGCGCGAGGCTGAACTCATGGACCGCCCTCCGATGACGCACTTCGAAGCAGCTCTTTGGGGGACCGAGAATTATTATTTTCCGCCAGGGTTGATTTCCAATTCGCAATACCATCAGTAATTGATCTTCAACTATTGGAAGAGAAGACTTCAATTTCACCACAAGACACCACCCAACTCGGCTATCCGTCACGAACCCTTCTCCTCAGCCCTAAGCCGTGTCCATGCAAGTCTATACTGCTCTGGCATCGCAAGCGGCCCGCCGAGTCACGACTACGATTGTCCGCGCAAGTAGCACCATCACCAGACAAACACCCCACCGACGCCCAGGACTCAGGCCACGGTCCTTTCTCTCGCGTTCCTTTTCCGTCACAGCTTTGCGCTCCTTCACGTATTCTTCGACAAACAATTCCCCACCAATGGCTGCGCATACAGACACTGAAGCCGCAGAAGTCGCCGTATCCTCCTCCCCTCCCATCACTCCAGACTTCCTCACCGAGAAACTCAAACAATCCATAAACATAACTCACATCAGTATGGAGGATATGTCGGGGGGTTGCGGGCAAGCCTTTAACGCCATCATCGTTTCCCCAGACTTCGAGAAGAAAACACTACTGGCAAGGAGTCGGCTGGTCAACGGGGTGTTGAAGGATGAGATCAAGGCTATCCATGCCTGGACGCCTAGATGCTTGACCCCGGAGCAGTGGGAGAAGGAGAGAGAGAGAATAGGATGAATGAAAATCCGGACGTGAATTGGGGGAGAGATAGACCTCGCCGGGGCCGAGCTCGCTGTCTGATTAATGACAATTGCAGGTGGACGTGACTCTACACTTTCTGGTACTACTACATCAGTTGAAGTGGATGCCTATTATTCAAAGAGCTGGCTGGCTGTTTCGAGTCTGGCCATGAGCATTCCCAGATGATATCTCGACGGACAAGACAAGGAAAGTCATCAGAATAAAACCATTTACCCCAGATATTGGGCCCAAAGCTTCAGATGTTGTTGGAGCTGGTGGGCAGATAGTTTTTTTAAACCCATTATTACCGCACAATACCTAGGTAGATGTTAGATAGTTCTGTACACCAAAACACCTCTTTCACTACATGTGAGCCACAGGATTTATATTCCATGTTTCCCTTGGAAACCCCAGGTCGGTAGCCCAGGGACAACCATCACACATATAACCCGCCGCCAGGTACCATCTTTACAGACCATGGAGAAAGTTGAAGCCCATGAGCTTCTCCGTGATCAAAATTCAACACCAAAAGGTCGATGGCCTTCCCCAAACCCAAAAATCATTCGTGAAGAGGTATCGTAAATCAAAAACTTGCCCCTGGTTTTCCCCCACCCTTATATCTCTCATCAAGTCGTGATATGGGTCGCTGTGTACCCCTGCAGGAAGCTTATGGGCTTCTTTCTACTCGATTGATACTCTTCGACGCCGCTCAAATGTTCGGCCGATATCCTGCGGGGCTGTTGAGGCTCGAAGGTCGGAAAGACGAGATCGCGTCATTGGTCGAGTGGCATGTCAATGGATCAAGAGGCCCATCTGACCCAGAGCGACTCATCGTCAAAGATTACCGTGTGCACTAGAGCTCATGCATGTATATCCCTTGCTGTAATCCGCCTCTTTAGAAATGTTTTGTCATAATCATTGCCGCATTGGCGCAGCCATTGGTTGATTTTGGGGTGGGTATATGCGTTGGCGTTTATTCGAGTTGCCCATATTTGATCCTCCGCCCATTTCCGACGGACCTCTTCTGTGTGTCTGCTGCTGCTGCTGCTGCTGCTGCTGCTGCGCGAGCATGCCGGACCCTCGCAGCCCTACGGGAGTCTGTGGCCCGTTTGGAAAGGATGTCGGGTTTCCATTTGTGTCCATGTAGTGTTGTTGTTGTTGTGCCATGCCGCCGTAATGTATATTGGGGTTTACCGGCGACACTCCTGAGTACTGGCTAGGAGAATTCCACGTGCTTGATCCCGCGGGAGAAGCCTCTGCTGACATATCGTCACGGACGGAGTGAGCCGTCGATGACGCCGCTCCCGATGGCGCAGTTGTTGCTGACATTGGCTGCGGCTCTTGTGGTATCAACTTGAGATGTGGCAAAAATCTCTCCAACATATCGACCAGGGATTTTCGCGTGAACGGCTTGGGCAACACATCGTCCATGCCATGATGGAAATACATAGAAATGTCGTCCGCTCGAATGTTGGATGTCATCGCGATAATGGGGGTTCGGTCGAACTGTCTGATGATATGACAGGCGGACACACCATCCAAGTTGGGCATGATGATATCCATCAATATCATATCGTACTTGTTCCCTTCCTGCAACTTGTTCACGGCCTCCAAACCGTCGAGAGCCGAATCAACAACGCACGAGAGCGAGTGCAAGAACTTGCCGCCAATCTGACGGCAGGTCGGGTCGTCTTCGACCAGAAGAATTCGCGGCGGTCGACTCCAGCCAGGATCCGCTGTCCCACTCTTCTTTCGTGTGTCGGCGAACTGTGCTCGTGGATCTGAGCCGTCTCTCGGAGGTAACGAGTATGGGATGTGATTAATGTACTCGCTGGATAGCGGGTCAATGCCGTTGGTTGACCCCAACGGATATACAACCGTCTCTAATTCGGCCGGGTTGATCTTTGAGAAACCCATGCTGCCGCTTGGAGGGGCAGAATTAGGCCCGCGGAACTGCCCAGATCGAGGGTCCTGTCCTACTGGTGGGGTATGCATGTTCGCGTTCATCTGTTCGAGCGCAGCGATGTTAAATTGTCCATCGGAATTGATATCGTTCAGGAGCTTCGCGGCGTGTTGTAAGGGTGACGCCGGTGTGTCTTCATCCTGGGGAGGCATATTCTGGCTCGTGGGGGTCAGGGTTGTGCCTGTCTGTGTAGAGTCCGAGGGTGGAGCAAACAGCTGCTTGCTGTCTCTGCGCTGTTTCGCGTCGACGGATTGCAGGAATATCATGACATCCTGCATGACTTTTTCGTGATTGACGACCGTTTTTTGAAGTCGGACGATCTCGAGCGCCAACATCTGATACTGGGATTGAAGTTGGTTGTTACACGTCACAAGAGACTCTATTTGCTGGGCCTGTGCGACAATCTGTTGGTTCATTAGGTCGATTTGTTGGATGGGAATCTGTTCGTCGTTGAGACTCGATGGCTTCCGAGGGGCGGGGGCCTTCCGTCTGATATTGTCCAGACTCTCCTTGTTGTGCTGCCGGAACTCTGGGTGTTTAAATTCCCAGGCGTTGACGCCGTACATGGATGATCCGCCGTCCTCATTGTTCTGTCGCACTTTGTGGAAATCATATTTGTTCAATTGCCGGACAAAGCTGGCGAAATTGGAGTGTTTGAAGTGTTTGGGGAGGATGGACTTTGTGAATTTTTCGTTCTCTAATACCACAAAGCTGTCACCATCATCGCCCCAACGGACTACCGAAGAGTACGAAGGGTCTTCCAGCATTCTGCGCATGAATTAGCTCCGAGTGCCATCACGGATGATGGCTGCGAGGGAGATATACTTATACAGCTTGCGCACAAAGTCGCTCGAGTTGTTTCCCGCTGCACCCTGGCCGTCCATCTTTGTGTGATTTTTCGAGATCGAATTTTCCTCTTCTGTGCGATAGATTCCCTCCGAGATGTAACTTCAATTAGGGCCACAAGGACGTCGACGGCTTTCAATCGTGGGTGTTGCAATCTGCTGCACAATGCCGGATCACCGCAGCATCGCTAAAGATGCGCTTTCAAGTTTCGAAAGGTGCTGGAATACGGCAAAAGCACAATATGCGGGATGCGAGGTATGTGTGATCCGCCGTCAGATAATGATGATTGGAATGGAATGTGCTGGGCGGCAGAATGCTGGTCGAGTGGCACAGACAAACTCGGATGGTGGAGGCTGCTTCGAGGTTGGAGGGTGCAGAATGCTGGATTTCGGCTATTCGGCCGCAATGAGTCTAGGATTCCCAGATCTCTGGAGGGCCAAGGGCGATATGGAGCAAATGACGTGGAATGCCAGGTTACTCAGATATAAAGCGATGATAGAATTGTATAGCAGCGATTGAATAGAATGTGGACGTTCAACGAGTGCGGGATGGGGAGAGGATGAGTTTGTCTGCGTGTCTGCGTTTCTGTGATGTTTGGTGTTGGGGAAGAAGGATCGGAAGTGGTGACGGGTCAATGGATTCCAAGTTGGGTGGTGGATGGTTTGGAGGGGGGCAAGAGAAGAGAAAGTTGGCTGCAGCTGTTACAAGGTGCAAGATGCAGGGAGTGGGTGGATAGGCGGGCTCTTGGAAACACCAAAGGGGCCTGGGAACCTAGCGAGGAAAGTGCTAAAAACGAGCAAACGAGCAGAAGAACAACCAGTACAAAGAATTTCCTGGCAGTTCTGGGAGGCGTCGTTGGCGCTGGGCTCCTCTATCAGGATGCAAAGAGGACGCAAAGGTGGACCACACCAGACAACTCCCATTGCCCATCCAGTCAGCATCATCAAAAATTGACAATTGTACCCAGTTTAGGCGAGCATGGGATCGCATCTCCCTGTATGCTGAACCGGGGGCGAAGGGAGGGGGGAAAATGTGGTGCGGCTAACAGTGCGCGAAGAACAAAGTACCCCGTAGAGGGGAGAGATTCGGTTAACTACTGTGTACCAGTACGGCTCATTGGTGGCCCTTTAGGCCTAGTGCTCGTAGTTAATCATGCGGAACCCGATCAAGGAGGTCAGTGATAGGGCGCTTCTGGGGCCCTTGAGGGAGAAAAAGGATCTGATCGAGGAGAGGGGGAAGCCACCAAACAGTTTGCTGGGCTGAATGGGTCATGGCCATGGGGGGACTCCGAAGCGTGAACTAGCACACTAGGGATGAATTTGCCCATGGCTTGCCCTCCATCATACCAGCCCAGCGCCCAGCCAGGAGTCTAGCAGTCCAACACCCCCGGCCAAAGCCCAAATTTTCCGTGAGCTCCCCGCTCGGGCACATTCGCTAAAACCCACTCCCCAGGACACGACTGGCCAATGTGACGAGTGTGCCATGGGCTTTGGCACCGATTTGGCGATCCGAAGACTCTCTTTTCGCTCACTTGGCCACACTTGTCCATTCCAAACCAAGTGTCACAGCGATCGACCATCAAGTTGGAAAAAAGGGGCCAAGGCCCCGTCAAAACAGAACCGTCTGAACATCCCATTCGACTGCTAGAGCAGTCTGGCGAGGAAGACACTTTTCCAGGCTGATCATTGACTTTCCTGGAGCACCAGTGCTTGTCTTGGTCTGCCACACTGCAAAACTCGTAGCCGGAAATCGCAATGTTTCGGCTGATCAGGATCCACTGTAGACGGGGAAAACTGTCAACTGGCCAACTTCCCAGGGCTAGGGAGGTGAAGGCGGCTTTCCTGTCCGAGAAAAGCAACCATGAGGCTTGTGATTACCAGAATAACGGCCTGCCAGTAAGAACAGGAACTCGTAGTTGGAAATGGACCTTGACTTGTCACATTCCACCATTCCTATAAAGGCATTGGCGTGAAATCGCCACCAGGATTCTGTGGAGTTTCTTCTTTGTCGCTGAAACGATCGAAAGGCAGAGGCTTTTGTTGATTGCGCTGCTTGTCCAGTCCTTGTTGATTCAGGGTTACGAGTACAATCTATCAACGGAGAGTCGTCAATCTGCAGGTCGTGATGGCCTAAAAGAAAAGCCGAAGGAAAAAGACCGCGTCTTCGCTGACGCGAGCGAGGATGACAGCCTCACTGTGGAAACGTTCGCCTCATGACGATCCCAACAAGCTCGGGGGCTTAACGGAGATGGCTCAAGCCGCAAGTGCCATAAATGTCCGCCTGAACTTTGCACTCGGGACAGGAATGGGGCTGTCAATTTGAGGGCCTTGTCAAGTGATAAAAATTTCACCCCATCATACGCAGGTACAAAGAAAGACAGGTCAAGTCCTGCCAGCAGCGTGGGTCCTCACGACCGAATCGTTTTTTGCCTAGAAAGACCGAATACTTGTACGAGGTACCTTGTACTTGGTAGACATTCCCGTACTTGAAAGCGTTAAGCATTGTTTGGCGCCCCTGATGCTTGAGATCTTCCCCTGTTTTCGGGTTTTGCTTCCTAGCTTCCTAGCAATACCACCGGTCGGTTCGGGCTACTATGCTCGCTTCTTCTTTCTCGCGATCGCGGATCGCCCCTTCGTCTCCTCCGTCCGATTTGGGAAAGGCGTCCCAATGCTGGCCAGAGAAAGTCGTGGCAGCGTAACCTTTTGAAAGTCACTGGTTAAGCATCCCGGCGGAAAGACCATCCTGGTACAACAGGACGACCTATACGCCTTGTCTCCTGATCGCTCCCTGTTGGGTGAGATAAAACAGTGTCAAACCCTTTCTGGCGATTCTAGATGACAGCTTCCTGCATGCTCGGTGAGGCCGAAGTTCGTGGGCAGTGCTCCATTCACAATGATGGGGAAATGACAACTAGACGCCAAATCTGCGCTTCGTGGATAGGCGATCACCAAGGAAGTATCCGAACTCTTCTGTTGGTCTAACAATGGGCGAGTCTAGACCTTCCGTCAACGCGAACCGAATCCGTGGGCCGGGGAACCGCAACAAGAGACTTGGACAGCGCAACAGATGCAGGGGCTCGTTTTGGCACAAAGGGTGCGAATTTGGCAGGTGCCGCAATGTTTGACATCAAACTTTGAGGTGAATTACTGGATGGCTAGTGTTCTGACTGCCGATTTAGACATCGTGTGCTTCGGTCGCGAGGTCTTGTTTTGAGGGAGAGCGCAAGGAGGCTGTAAGCCATCCGAGAGTGCGTTGAGGCGATGCGACCCAGTTCAGAGGACTTCTCAAATGGCCATCTCGGTAATGCGTACTTCCTGCAGGCTGCTTTGTCCGAAACCCGGGTGACTTCAGATTTCGAGTCCTCACCTTTCGCTGAGGTTGGAGTCAGTAGTGCAGGTATTTATGAAACTTTCACTTTTCGAGTCTCAGGACTTGCGAGTGAATACTGTCATTGGAGGGGCCGGACCCGCAACCTCTGTCTCCTTTGTGCGAGGAGATGACTTGCATGTGCATGGCCAGCCAGAAGATTTCAAATATATGATGCAGTCTTGTAGGATTGAGCGAGGGACCCAGTGGGATCATAGACAATACTGGGTCACCTAGACCATTTCTTGCAGCGGATTACAAGTCCTTCGTACTCGTTCCTATACCGAGTAGGGGCAGGACTCGAGTGTTGTGGTGGGTTGGCTTTGGGAGGGAGGGAGGCACCCGCGCAACGGCACCAACCGCAATTCGCAGCTTAAAGACTACCCCGCAATGATGTCGTCCTGCCCCTGCATTGGCACAACCATTGGGGAAGCTACAAGTATGAATGCAGCCTTTAGAGCTCCCAGGACCAACGGTAACAGCACACAACAGTGAAGTGCAAGTGAATTTGGAGTGAATCGTTCCTTCCACCGATTTCAAATACTTTCCCACTCAGTTCAATCTCACCAGTCACATAAATGCTCTCTCGATCCATCTTCCGTTCTTCCACCTCTCTTCGTCCCGCTTCTCTCAGTCCCCTCTTCAGACAGTTCTCATCGACACCCGCAATCATGGTGTGTATCTCTATGCCTCGTTTCTACACCAACTGACATTCTTGCAGGTCAAAGAAGGCGATTCCATCCCCAATATCGACCTCTACGAGGACTCCCCCGGCAACAAGGTCAATCTCGCCAAAGAGCTCAGCTCTGGCAAAGGCCTCATCATCGGTGTCCCCGCTGCATTCTCCCCTTCTTGCTCCGACACTCACATTCCGGGTTACATTGCCAATGACAAGTTGAAGAGTGCCGGAAAAGTGTTTGTGGTCTCTGTGAACGATGCTTTCGTGTAAGAGCTCTTGAGACACCATTCCTTCCACCATGTTTCTCACTTCTTCCACAGTATGAAGGCTTGGGCAAAGAGCTTGGATGAGACAAAGAAGAGCGGCATCCGATTCCTCGCTGACCCCTCTGGAGAATTCACTCGTGCCTGGGATGTGGAGTTCGATGCTTCTAGCATCTTGGGCAATGGCCGAAGCAAGCGATATGCTGTGATCACGGAGGATGGCAAGGTCGTCAAGGCCGCTGTTGAGCCCGACAACACGGGGGTTACAAGTGAGTTTTGCCATTTCCCTTTAATCATGGGATCATTTCTAAAGTTTCACAGTCTCTGCTGCCGAGAAGGTGTTGTAGAACAGGAGACCCTGAGAAGAGAAACCACCACCATAGATGCGCCACCCTGTAACAGCATGGCAAATGTCACACTCGAAGTGGAATGGAAGGGGAGCAAACCGGAACATGGCATAGGTTCAGCACAATCTTACCTGTGCTCATGTACCAAGTTTAGTTCTCTATTTCATCATGTCTGAAACCTCAAAAGCAAATTCAAATACATTCTAACCATTGAGATTCCCTCCATGGCTGAGCAGAGTAAACCCAAAGGAGGTCTTTTGTCGGAGCAGCTCATGTAGATGGATTGGATGACCTACATTCAGGTTCCAATGACCTCGATCATCATGTCATTCAACCCATACTTTTGAATGCATACGGGAAGACCGCGAGTGGAAAAAGGCCACTCTTCATTTTGACCCGCCCAATAGTCAGGCATAGACAAAGGTGTTTGCACACTAGCTCAGAAGAGCGCGCACTTCTGCCCCAGTCCTGGGATACGATTCTCTCACTGACCCGACCGGGCCAGTGGCGCTCTTGTCCCCTTGATCCTCTGACCTTTGATCATCGTCATCGCCATCGTCGCCGTCTCCCTCTCCCGCCGATGCTGACGCTGACACGGAAGTCTCAGCATCGACCGTCTCCAGCATACCCTCCAAATCATCGTACTCGGAGCAGAACTTCTCCACCGCTTCGGCCACCACATCCTGGGCTAGTGGGCGGTCGAACAGGGGTTTCATGGCTTCCTGCGCGTCCATAAGGGCCGAGGAGAGGAACGCGTCGAGCCGCTGGGCGGCCTCGTCGAGGTTTTGGAGGAGCCAGGCCCGTCGGGCCTTTGGGCCTTGTCCCCTGCGCGAGTCGATCTCTTGCATGAGCTCCGCGACGCCGGAGAATTCGAGGAACGTCGAAGTGACGAATTCGACCAGCTGGTCCCGCACCGTCTGGATCTCCCTGGCGGCTTTCTCCAGTGGGATCCGGGCAGGGGGGACGTGGGCCGAGATGTTTGCGAGTGTCGCCTTCAGCGCGGTCAGATAGTTGATCTTGTAGATGCTGGCTCTCCGCACGTCCGCGAGATTAGTCGCGGACTCGGCGCACGCGGCCAGGATCCCGCTCAGCATCGACGTAAAGAGTCGCTCGAGTTCCGGCTCCGTCATCTGGGGGCCTCTCGCCTGACATACGTCGTTGAACTGTCTCAAGGCCGTGGCCAGGAACACCGGCGGCGTGAGATCGCGCGACGGCTCCGAATCAATGCTCGCAATGGCGGTGGTGGTCTCTTCTTCCATTGCTTGTTCAAACTGTGCCAGCGTCGATGATTGCAGAGTCTGGATGAGCCTGGCTAGGGTTGAGTCCTGCCCCAGCAGTTTGGAGAAGATGCCGCGATAGAAATCTAAGAGGTTGAAGGTCTTGAACATGAGCACAGGATCGCCCGAAGTGCGCACGGCAACGTCGATCCGTGATTGCAAGGTCTGACAGACGAGGGAGAGATTGCGGGAGATGAGTTCGGACAGGGCCTTGCGGCCATCGAAGACCGGCTGCTCGTCACCATCTTCTTTCTCCGCATCTGAGCTCGACGCAGATGACGCCCTTCTCTGTCGGCCACTGCTGATTCGAGCCCACGGATCAGTGGCCTTGCCAGCGCTGAGACCCCGCGAAATCTCTTCAGCATCGGACACAAAGAGCCCCTCGAGAGCTTCCTTCTCCGACACAGCGGCGGAGTGCACCCACGCAAGCATATCGCCGATGTACCGTAACGGTTCGTGGGTGGAGAATTCAATCGCTTTCGTCGCGGCACCTCCGTGGTGGCCCGAGCCTGTCAGGGCTTCATGAAACGCCTCTGCCAACGTGGCTCGTCGCGCTTCCGCAAAGAAGTCGAGGCAGTTCTGGAACAAGCTCGGCCTCTCACTGAGGACCCTCAACGCGCGACGAATCGAGCCGCTGATATTGGGGTCTTCGAGGTCGAGCGTCTTGAATTCCCGTTGGATCCAGTTGTAGAGCTTCTTGAAGGCCGCATCCAGGTTGCGGGTAGTCTGTTCAAGCAGCTCCAGGCCCAGTCGGGACGTGCCTTCCTCCTCGCCGGAAGGAGAGGAGTTGTAGCCCAATAGAAACTCGCAGTCCCTGTGGATCTGTTTGCACCTCGCCAGGATCGAGAAGAAGCGTTCGTCGAGCGGTTCCGCGGAGCTGGTCAGAATGTTCAGATCTTGATTGGAGATGAGGAAGTGGCCGGTGAACGCGGTCAAGAGGGACTCTTTCATCTCAGTCTCCCGTTTGCGCGTCATGAGCGTGGAGAATTCCTCCAGCGTTGGCGCGGACTCTTGTTTCGCCGCGAGGATGTGCGTGCGCATTGATTCGCACGTGGTGTTGAGGGTCGCCAGCAAGGCCCCGACGCGCTTGAGTTGCTATCCATTTGTTAGACGAAGTGCTTGAGGGCAGTCCAACGCTGGTATGACTGTCGGACGAAAGCCAGAGAATACATGTATTTACCTCCGCAACCACACCGAAATCATCCACGATCTGTGCATTGCAATCGATCACCTCCTTTTGTGCGTTGGCCTTGAGATTCCTCCTCGTATCCTCGTCATTGCGGACGCCTCGCTCGTCGAGGAGGCGCAACGCATCGCGGGTCTCGTAGTCGGCGTAGGACGCGGAGAGGACGCTGGTGAGTTTGGCGGTCAGGGCTGTGGACCGCTTGGACGAAGGGAGACCATCAGCACCGGCACCGCCCGGTGTGACGGGACTGTCGAGGCCACTGGCGGAGGTGAAGCCATCGGCGCTGGTGAGAAAGGAAGCAGCCATAAATCCAGAAGCGAGGGAAATGTGCCCCCGTGCATTTTGATCAAATGCTGCATCGCCTGACGCTGGCTCAACGAGGCTGTGGGGGGAAACAAACCCGACGCCGGTTTAAATTGGAAATGGTGGAGGGTGGGGTCACTCTCAAGAGCAGCGAGAATTGCGCGGGGCTTTCTGTATAAGTCAGTGAGGGACGACTACAAACTTGCTTTGCCGTGGAATTCTCTAGCTCAGAGGGAGGTCTATTTCCTCCTTGAGGTTGCCAGATGAATGGGACCTTAATCATATCTCTGTTCGCTTGCTTCTATCCCATATGTGGCAAAAGGGATTACAGAGTGCTTGAGGATGTTACTCTCGTTGACTCGCCGCCCCTGGACGGGCAATCTGATCCTACCGAAGCAACCCAGTCTCAATCTAATTACATCTGCGACACAAGCCACTTGATACCCCCAATCAAGTTGGCCACAAACTGCTGCCCCTCGGGCACAGAGGGGAAGATCCAGAAATAGTGAGGCAATCCCTTGTAGTGGTCGTGCTTGGTAGGAACACCTGCCTTCTTCAGTGCGGCTTCCATCACGTACGCATCATCTCTCAAGGGATCCTTTTCACAGCTGACGAAATATGTGGGAGGGAAGTTGGCGTGGTTATCTGTGGCCAGAGCGGTGAAGATGTCGCTGTCCTTGGGATCGGCGCCTGCGTGTTCGTAGAAAATCTGCATCGAGTTCTTGTCGATGATAGGGACGCCCTCCTTGTTCTCCTCGTACGCTTTATAGATACCCTTATACTCCTCTGGGACGTTGTCCCAGTGCAGCGTACAGGGCACAACGGCGGCGACACCCTTGATGCCATCGCGCTTCGAGGGGTCTTTGACCAGACGGTTGGCGATTTGGAGCGCCAGTGCACCACCTGCAGAGCCACCAACGGTGTAGAATTTGTTTGGGTCACCACCATACGAGGCGGCGTTTTGTCGTGCCTAGAATATGTATTAGTCAACATGACTACACGGGTAATGCTGGCACTCTTAGTCATGGTGCTCACCCATTTGTACACGGTCAAACAGTCCTGGAGCTGTGTGGGGACCTTGTGCTCGGGGGCAAGGCGGTAGTCGATGTTGATGACAATCGAGGGAACAGCTTCAGCAACAACCCTGCAGAGCAAATCGTCCGAGTTGAGGTCGCCAGTCATCCAGCCTCCACCGTGCGTCCAGATGGCGACAGGTAGCGGGCCTGATTTGGCAGCTTCCTTTGGTGTATACAAGCGGTACTTGATGCCCTCGACTTCACCGTCTTTGCTCTCGACGGCGTCTGATGGGGGAGGCAATTGAGGAAGCAACAACGCCACAAGTTGATCATACTGGGCACGAATCTCTTCTGGCGTTCCGCTCATGACCGTGCGGCCACCCAGGCTCTTCTCCAGCTGCAGATGTCCGTTAGCAGAGAGGAGAGGAAATTGAGCACAATTTGGCTTGGAAAACTTACATCGAGCCATGATTGTGCGTACGCCATGGTGTCTGTGACTGACTTAGGGGTGGAGGTGTGAGTGTTGTAGTATAGAATGGACCGAGTCTGTGACGATTGATTTCAAGACGATAACTCTAAGCTGGGCTGCAACGTCAGGCTCCAGAGTAGAAATCTAGAGAACGAAATAAATACTTCGTCCCCATGGGATTGACTCGACCTCGGTTACATAAACCCGCAATGTACTCGTGGGACGGAGGGGTTGAGCCGAGAAACCAAAGCCAACGATTTGATATGACGGCAACCAACGGGTGTGGACCGGCCAAGGGAGCGTCAAAGTCAAAAGCAGCAAAAGCAGCCAAAGCAGCACAAGGTGTCGGCAAGGGCGAGTCAGAACCCAAGAAATGCTTCGCTCACAACGATTTGTGGATTCATATGTGGCGTTGTTCACTGACCATGTTCGCGGTTCAATTTAGTCAGGGCCTCATTTGGGGCTATGGAGGGCGGAGCCAGTCCACATGTCACCTGTCACGAGAATTCATGCCATCCTCTGTAATACAAAAGGTAGACGCGTGTGGTAATCCAGAGACGTGTGCTTCAGTCCGATGCCCCGTCCGGTCTCGAGCAAAGTGGTACTTGTAAGGCCTGATATACCTCTATCTAACTAGCATGCAGTCAGCTGAATGTCTCCCCTTAGGTTGATCAGTCTCTCAAGACCACAGCGCTCTCATCAAAGGATTGAGGCTGAAAAACCAATTTCATCCGTGGCCGACGGCATCTTCCAAGTATCTCGCCGAATCCCAGACCACTATCTCTAAGAGGCTTCTCCAAAGTTCATATGTCCTGTCTGTTCTGCATGTTTCATTGCCCCAGCTTCTCCAGTACACGTCACTCCACAATCGTTACATCGGAGTTGGAACCCAGCAGTGTCGGTGTAGTAGTGTTTGGCCTGTAGTTTCTGGCACAAAGCAATGGCATGTGGAAGGACCTCGTCTGAAAGTGGCTGGACGAACTGCTTGACATCTGCCTCTGGTGGTTCACCATGGACACTTAGCGCGATTGTATCGTAATGAATGCCAGAATAAACAATAAAGCAACGGTTCGGTGCATCTTCATTGTACCTGTCCACTCGCAAGCTTTGTACATCGATACTGCAGATTTCAATATCGAATTGTCGGCTGAGAATATCAAGTTCAATTTGGCCCCCCCAGGCGTCCTCAGTCTGGATCCACCGGCAATATGCATCGGGTTCTTTATTGTCTAGAATAGCCTTGGTGTACTTATCAGGATTGGCTTGAATATTCTGGGCAATGATCGACCGTAGTTCCGTGACTGCGTCCATATCTGACAGGACAGCACTGGCAACGGCTCTAAAAAGACACGAATTGTCATCTGGCATAATGCGTAAGACCAAGGTGCCCTGTAGATCCGGACACCAGATCTCAGGTGGGTCTGCCATTTCGGGGTTCTGCTTTCGTGATAATGACAATGGCGTTACCGAGGCTTCTTGAGATTTGGGGGTTGGGTTTGATGTGCTGGGGAAGGCTTTTGATGCAAAGCCCGGGTGTCTTGAGGAATCAGTTACGCTGGAGGCGCCTTTGGGTGGATCTGACGCCGGAGGATGAGTCTCACCCTTCTGGCTTAGTGGTTTAATCTCATTAACGATCAGCTGTTCGCCATTCAATTTGATATCGAGCTCTGAAAGGAGCGTTGTAGAGGCCAGTTGATCGAGTGGTAGGGTTTTCGGAGGGTAGCCATATTTGACCTCGAAGGAAGATAGCGATGTTTCGATCTGAATGGTTGTGCGAAGCGTCTCTACCGTGGCGGAATCGTTGAGACTGACTGTGCTGGACTTGCCAGAAGGGCCTCTAATGCGGACCCTCATTGCTTCCTCCGGGTTCAAATACGATTTTGACCGAGGGTGATTTGTTATATATACTGTTGGGCAGATGAGATACCAAAGAACGTAAGAGGAGCAGATCTGTCACGAGGCACATCAGTGGCTAGTGACAAGTGACAGCAAACAAACTCGCAGCCCCTGGTCGCCACCAGGGAAGGATATGGTCTTGAATGGAAAGGATGAAAGTGGAGGAGATCTAGCTGGATCTCTGTGCGGTATCTCAGTGACTGGACCGTTCGTTGTGCGTGGAGTACACGGCTTGATCTTCTTCCCACGACTCGACACGTAGCCTCTGACACTCTCTAGGCCTCCCTCGCGTGCCAGCGGTGACGGTCAAGGTGGTGAGGATATCATGCGAACAAGTTCCTAATCAGCCCAGAGTGGTTTAACCCCCAAGAGTTGTCCGGGCCGATCTTTCGACGCGGTTCATTCGAGTAATTATCAGAAGACGCGTCCTGAACTAGGGACTTGGAGCAGGATCCTGGATTCCAATGCACTCTTTTTCTTTCAACGATGATAATTGTAGAACTCACCAGCATAGCAAAGGGGTGATATGGAAGATGAAGCTGCGGAAAGTCCTCAGCGCAACTGCCGCCAAGCCTTTATCGCCGCGCCCCCCAGATTTTGCCCGCAGTTTGTTAGGGCGCAACGTCGCCTGTCGCATTACCTCTAGAGTCGCGACAACTTGATCGTCTCGCCCAATTCCCAGAGATAAGTGCTCACGCATAGGTCTCCTACATATGTCTTCACCCGTAGTGCCTTTCCAGCTCAGTTTCCACATTGCGAGTCAGTTGCGATCGTTGCGCGACAAATAGACCATGGCCGAGTCCGAAACCCCAGATGCGCCCACGACGAAGCCAGTCCAGTCCATCGAAGTCGAGCCTGCTGTCAAGGAAGAGGATGCGGCCGACGACAAATCCGACAATGAGGGCGACGGTGCTGAAGAAGCTGAGGAAGCAGCTGGAGATGGACAAGAGGAGCCTCCCGTCTCTCTTGATCAGTACAGGGCTCTGAAAAACATTACCGATATCTTGTCAAACTACAAGATCAAAATCAAGGATGAGTCTGTGCAACCTCGTGTGTTGGAGTCCCCATCGTAAGCTAACTTCATCTTTAGGGACTACTACCCCTCCCAGCTTTTCCGACGCAAGCCCAATAGACGGGTCCTACCCGATTACCACGAAATCATCAAGGACCCTGTGGCTATCAGTACTCTTAAGCAGAAGATACAGAGAAAGCAATACACAGGCATTCCGGAGTTTGTACGCGATTTCGCCCTGATTGTCCACAATGCCCAGGTATACAATAGACCGAATTCGGCTCCTGTTCGCGACGTGCTTCTGCTGCAGACGGTCTTCAAGGAGGAACTCAAGAAGCTGGTTGATGAAGGCCTGATCCAAGAAGAGGAAACAGTCTTCCCAGACCTCGGAGAGATACCAGATGCAACCCCCGAGCCGACCCCAGTGTCTGATGACGATGAAGACAATGAGGACGAAGAGGATGACGAGGACGAGGACGATTCCGAAGATGATCGCAGGAAGAGAAGACGGAAAGGCGGCCGGCCGAGCATCTCAGGACGGAAGGGTCGCGATGAAGATGATGACAGACGCGACGATGCAGATCTTCGAAAACGACGAGGACGACCTCCCAAGGTGGACACGCCTATGGAAGCTCGGATCAAAGCCATTCTCAAAGGGCTCCGCAAGCCGAAAGACAACGAGGGAAACTTGAAAGTCCGTCATTTTGAGCGACTACCCGATAAGATGGAGTACCCGGCCTATTTTATTGAGATCAAGGACCCCATCGCGCTCGACACCATCAAGAAGAAGGCCAAAAGAAAGAAGTACCAGTCACTTGAGCATTTCATGAAGGATCTTGATTTGCTGTTTAACAATGCAAAGCAATTCAACGAGGATGGAAGTGAAATCTACCAGGATGCGGTAGATCTCCACGCAGAAGCACAGAAATTGGCAGAAATCGAAAAGGCCAAACCTGACGATGAATACCTTATGGAAGACGGCAGAAGACCCTTGCCGGCTGGCATCTTTTACAAAAACGAACTTTGGAAGGTCGGTGATTGGGTCCATATCCAAAATCAGAATGACGTGACCAAGCCGATTGTTGCTCAGATTTACCGAACTTGGGAAGATCCTGATGGTCAGAAGTGGATAAATGCGTGTTGGTACTACCGTCCAGAACAAACAGTACATCAGTACGAGAAACACTTTTGGCCGAACGAGGTTGTCAAGACAGGCCAATATCGAGACCATCGGATCGAGGAAGTGATTGATCGTTGTTTTGTCATGTTCTTCACCAGGTACACTCGTGGAAGACCTCGAAACGTCGATCCTACGAAGGAGGTCTATGTCTGCGAAGCGCGGTACAATGAAGAGAAGCACAGATTCAACAAAATCAAGACATGGGCCAGTTGTTTACCTGATGAAGTGCGAGACAAGGACTACGAGATGGACTTGTTTGAGGTGCCTCGAAAGATCAAGAAGGTACCCAGCCCACTCAAGCACCTGTTAAAGGACAACATGAAAGAGACGGACGAGATACCCTCTCCTCAATGGGGCCATCCCAATGCACCACCCATCGTGGGCGGAATCCATAAACATGCCCGCGACGAGAATGTGAGTCTTTGCAACCCTGGTGGTTTTGATGGATTCCGGCTGCAATCAATTTGTTCCGATTTCGTCGCAGCATCTTTACTGACTTTCCATCTCACAGCAATCTCCGCCTCCAGAACCAACACCTCCGCCTCCCCCTACGCCTCCACCGCCGGCCGTGAGACAAGCTTCATTAAGCACTATTGCCAACATGGTACCACGTCCCATAACTAATGGCGCAGGGAGCCACGTTCCGCCAACTCTGCAACCTCAGCTGACACGTCCATCCCCTTCGTTGACTCCCAACTCATTCCAACACCAGTCCATCTCACCTGCTCCTCAGTACGGCCGACAGACTTCCTATCAACAGTCACAAGCCCATCCTCATGCAGCCATTGCACCCCAAACTCCAGTCCCTCCGCAGTCGCATCATCCTTACAACCCACTCCCCCAAATTCACCCGCAGCCGACGTTGACTCCCGCCCACCCTACCAACTACACATCTAGCACTCCTGCCCAGGGGATGTACAATCGCCCACCTCCAATGCAACCGGTCGGCGCCGCCGCCACTCCAGCTCAACCATATGCACCCTTTGCCTCGACGGCTGCAACTACCTACCCCGATCAACGTGTCGCCGAAGTCTTTGTGCTGTCGGACACGGCCAACGAATTGATCCCAAAACACATACGCGACCAATTCCCACAAGACGACCAAGGGCGTGTCCTGTTCTTCACGAGACCGCCTGTCCTGCATGACATGACCGTCAGAGGAAGTGATGGGGAGCCATTGCGGCATACAGAGAAATACCTCATAGCCAAGAAAGAGAAGGAACGGTTGAGAGAGGAGAGGAAACGGGCAAGAGCGGAAGCCGAAAAGGCGGAGAAAGACACGATGAAACGCGCCCGAATAGCTGTTTGACACTACGAGCTTGTCAGGAGGAGATTGCATTTTTAAGGAGTTGTTCGAAAAACGATGGAAGAGAGATGAGATCCTACCGGGAGACGCAGACGCAGACGCCAGGTGTTTATCGTTTTTTGGGTATTATTAATGTCCCTTATTCCAGGACCCCAGCGTCGGCGCTGGCGGATAACTGATCGCTGGCCTTGATGCATCAAGGCTCTTTTTTTTGGTTGTGTGCGAACAGCTCAGCTCGGTATTTGTCCTGGCCTTTTTCTGGATGTAAAACTAGGGAGACAAGGGAGGGACTGGACAGACAGACAGATAGACAGGGAGGGCAGAGACGGCGGACAGGTATGGTGGCGGACGTGTCTTGATGTCTGTCTGTCTGTTTATCCATCTTTGAGTTGGGACCTCTCTGTCGCTATAACGCGCATTTTTGTATCGCCTACCGCCTATCGTCGAGCCACTTTAAATCAGTGTTTATTATATAATCTTGCTAGACAATCCTACCGTAGGCCTGCACATCACGCTGACTGCTTGCTTGCGCCAATTCCAGAAGCCCTTCTTTCCCGCCTTTACTTCGGACCGCGCGATGTCCGTGACTCTAGGCCGGTCATGAGGTTTTGAATTCCGGAGGAGAGCCTGTCAAAAGAAAAGAAAACGACACGAACGCCAGACGCCAGTGCTAGATAGAAGAAGGCAAGTGGAAGGGGTACAGCTAGCTAGCTAGTTACAACGCCTCGAACAAGTCGTCCCTCCGTCTCCTCAGCCGGTCCAGGTCCCCCTCCGCGCGGCGCACCTCGGCGCGCGACACCTCAATGTCGGGCGGCAGGCCGTGGAACTGTCGAATGCGGTCGTGCAGGGCGTCGAGCCGCTTCTTCTTGGCGGCCAGCGAGCGCTGTTTCGCTGCGAGGACGGTGGGGTCGGTCGATGAAGAAGGACCGGAGTTGGAGCCGGCACGGGTGAATGCGGCGAGGTGGTTCTCGAGCGCGTCGATGCGGGATCGGTACTCGGTGGATTTGAGGGTGAGTTGCTTCGTCTCGCGCTGGTGTTGGAGCGTCAGGTTGTGGAGGTGTGAGAGATCCGTCGTCCTCGTCGTGCGGAGGTGCTGTTGGGTCGGTGACGAAGACGGCGTGGTTGGTGAGGTCGGGTCGTCGTCCTGTGCGCGGGCTGAAGTGGGAGGTGTCCTTTCGGCGAAGAAGGCGGCGAGGTCTCGTTTTGTCCGAGTGACTTGGGTCTGTAGATCAGCCGTGAGGGTTTCAATCGCTGAGAGTTGGGATTCCTGGGCGAAGGTCTGGCGAGGGATGTTGACGATCCGAGAGGGCAGATCTCCAAGGACACTGGCTCTTGTCGACGCCGACGTCGACGGAGAGGCGCGCCCTAAAACCACGACCGAGCTGGCGAGAGACTCCAGCGCCGTCGTCGCGGCCGGCGCCAGCGATGTCTCGAGCAAGGACATGATTGCGATCGCGTCGTGATTACTCTCGATGCCCATCGTTCGTCGTTCCTCCGCCTCCTCCTCCTCCGCAGCCTCCAGTTCCTCCACCTTTGCCTCAAATAGTAATTCCTGCACTCGATCCGCGGCAATGTTCTCCGCCATCAGACTCTGCAAGGCCTGGAGCGTCGCGGCGTTGCGTTCAAATGCCGGCACGGGCGACGGATGATACAGCCTCGCGAGCCAGCCGCTCACAATTGACCAGGAGTGCGACGCGAGTGCCTGCGCGCGGGCTTTGGATGGTGACGCCTGCATGTTTGATCACACCTCACAGAGCAGAGAAACCAGAGGAAATTTAATTGTAATATCTCTGCAGCTCTCTGAGGTTCAGGAGGTGGGGGGCAAGCAACAGGTCGGGTTAGTCTGTTCAACCTTGGATGTTAGTGGAATACTTCCATTCAGATGTAGAGGAAGGGAAAGAGATTGAAATGTCTGATAGAGAGTAGAGGAAGTGGTCAGATCGAAAAGAACAAGCTCTGGCTAGGTATAATAGAATCTCAATGCGAGATGATTGTCCGACTGACCTCCCCAAACTGCGAACATCTCAACCACTCTCCTGAGGCTTCATATAAGGGGGTATTAAATCAGAAATGTATTATCCGAGATCTATTAGTGGACCGCCATTGGGTCTAGAGTACAAAATATACTTTTGAAACAAAATATCCACTTTTGTTACCGCCGCCTCAGAAAGCAACAGCTACGCAATACCTTCGCAGGCGTATAATGCGCTCATCATCATGGGTCAACTGGCTTCGAGCGTCGTCGAAAGCGCTCTTTGGAACAGCAGTCACTGCTGAATGGCCTCCCACTAACCAAATGGCCACGCACGCGGTCTTCCAGGAAATGCAGACGTCGTGGTCGGTCTTCTTCCACCGCCTTCCCTTTATGCCCCTGGTGGTTCTGTATCGTGCTGTATGGCAGGCTGCATGCCCTTGGCCCGTAGCCCTCGAGGCAAGGACTATGGGTGATAGATGCCGAATGTTCCCTCCCTACCGCCAAAGTCTCAGCGTTTCACGAGGCGTTACTCGAGCTCGATCATCTTTTGTGACCGAACCCTAACGAGGATTCTGCGGATTGCCGGCATTGCTGAAGGGTGCGTCTAGCGGAATCTTCAAGCAGCTTCCGTCTATGCACAGTCCATGACCACGATTCTGCTCGCATCTGCTAGTCCACGAAACCGAATATCGGCAAAGTCCCTTTTCTCGCCGGTACTGTAAATCATTGAGGGTCGATAGAAGGTACGTGTCGGGGAGGATCTTCTTTCGTCAATCCTTGGCGGCCTGTGTAGTACCCGCGGACTTGGTACTTCGGTGAAGACATCCGCGTGGTAGGGCGACAGGCTCCATGGAATCGCTCAGAAAGCGCCATATCTGGATCTCTCTCCTCCGTCTTTTCACACTCTCATACCCCAAGACCTGGCCAAGTTCACGCCGTTGCTCGCCCAGAATCCAAGGTACTGGGACATTCCCCCCACGGTCCCCCCGAGGAGGCGAACATCTCCCAACCTGCGGTCGAGGAATTCTTCCGTTGCCGAAAAGTCCCTTGATGTATCCGTGGTCATGAACAGTTCTGAACTTGCGTAGACGGCTGCGAGGGAGGCTCGTTTCGTGTACCAGGAGAAGTCAACTGCGGTGTCTCCTGCGAGATACCAAATCTCATCCGACAAAGCTTGAAGTTCTTTCATAGAGGCAGGAATATTTTCGAGGAGGGACATGTAACCAAGAGCCTGCAGCAACAAATATTAGATGAGTGACGGGTGAGAAGCAATGTTATGGACATACCCCTTGCCACTGATGGATGATGTCTGCATTGGCTCTCAACCGTGCCATGGTCAGCGTCCTGATTTTTGGGCCCAATCCTAGCGTAGATCCCTCGGGAAACTGTACGGTATCCTTCAATGCAAGCCTTTGTGTGACTAGATGGTAGTTTATGAGATCAAAGACACCGCGAGGGAAGAGCTGGACTGTAACATCGAGGTACCCGGCATCTTTAGCTCCTAACGCCAGCGCTCTTTCTGTGAAACCGTGTTCTGGAAGTCGAATAATAGCAGCGGAAAGAATTCGATCTTGGATTTCAGGGAAAGGAGGGGGGTCCGGATGGTGGACGGAAAAGTAGGTCCTCGTGAAAGCCGGTCGCTGTCGAAAAGCGTGGCTTGACTGCGTTGTAAGCACTTTCAGTCGCAGTGATCGTGAGAGTGCCACGGTCCTGCCGTGAAGGATGGACATGATCGCTTGCCAGAGGAGGGCACGGTATGATGAGGTGGGTTGGTGAAGGAAGACTCGGGAGAGATGAGGAAGTAGCCAGTAGTCGAGGTGTGGAGACTCGAGAGACAATCGATCTACAACAGTCAATGCTGTGAGTTCAAGAAAAAGCAAGCGTTCGCGAGCTGCACAACATCTGCAACCATCCGGTGAGCGGATGAGAGACTAGCCTCCAAGAAGCGATCCAGACAAAAGTGGTTTTCCTTGATGGGCGCATGTGCATGGAATTCTCAACCCTCGCAACTGTTGGAGTTTCTTTCAGCCTTACGGTGCTTGGCGGGTTACATAAAAGATGAGTAACAACTGCTCGGAGCTCAGCACTCTGGCACTCAACACTTGATATGTGCCCGCGGAAAATGAAACATGTTCGGGTTGGGGAAGAGGAGAGCTATGTATAGTCCAGAACATGAGATACATCTTGTCTTCCTTTTTTTTCTTAGAAAAAATTAATGACCCCCTTACGGAGCCACCTTTCCCAATACCCAATGCGGCAAGTGATATAGAGACTACGTCCGTCTCCATCACTGGCTCGAAAACAACGTCTTCTTATCCGACTCATCCACGATGAACGTCTCCATGCTCCCCACGTAGACGTCGTTGTCCGGCAACACCTTCTCCAGCATAGGCTTGGACGTCATAATCTTCAACAAATTGTCCATCGTCGCGACCGTCATAACGCTCATTGCGTCGTAGTCGCAGGTGATTTTCCGTCCGGCTGCGACCGCCATCTCGCGCGCTTTTCGGGACTCTTTTAGGTGATGCTGTTTGTTTTGAGCCAGAATTTAGCGCCTCCTCACATGGCTTCTGTTCCTTGGGGCTGGGTTGGGAAGGGAAAACACATACCTGTTCGTATTTGATGAGGTTTTCCTTGGCCTCGGGCACCTCGTCCAAAAACATCTTGCCGTGGACATGCTCGTAGTAGTGATAGAAATATTCGAGCGTGACGTCTTCCCTCTTCTTGAGGCAGATATAATATCTGACGACCATCCTGGCAAAAAAATCGGGCGGGTATGAAATGTGTGTCGTCGAAGAAGTGTTAGGGAGTCTCTGAGTGTGGCAAAGGTCTAGCTAGCTAGCTTCCGAAAGTGGGAGGAAGACTCTCTCTCTCGATGCATCACCGACTAGATTTGGATTTATAATTCATTGCTACCTAGTTGTTCAGTTATCCGCCCATTAAGTGAGTGCCCCCTCAAAGTGCCATCAAAGTATTTCGGAAAACCTCTTCGAGGTTCCCCAGTTCCCCGCACATGCGTTGGAGCCAAAGCATGGCATCGGATTTCATGATCCGGGAATGGGTCCTTGATCGGAAAATGGAAATCCTGATCGGTCAGTCTGTCCACAACTTCCAATGGTCGGACTGGAACATCTGTCTCGTCGTTAGCAGCCTATCTTGTCAGCCAGTCGTTATCTTCCTCAGGTCTCTTCTACAGCCCGTCTCTTCTCTTCCACTAAACTGCCTGTCCGTCTTCGTCGCCCCACACCGGCCACCCAAACATGTCTTCCAAATTCCCAATGGAAAACTCGTGGCAGTCAAATGGATTGCTATCGCCAGCGACATCCGGCGGGAGGGCTTGCTCATAGGACAGTGGCAGATCTGCTCGCTTGGAAAGAAACGCAGCCGCTGGTGGAGGCTGAGCCGGCGAACCCTTGGGGAGCATATCTTGTGATGAAAGGGAGAGCCCTTGAGATGTTTTGAGTTTCGAGGTCGGCATCGAGGTCGCTGGGCGGACCCCGCCTGCTTCGAGACCACTGTAGGTGCAAGGACCGTCCGAAGTCCAGCCAGAAGCTGTACAGGCCTTCTCAATAATGTGCAGTGTCTTTTTCACCCCTTTATACGTCGGCACCATACCTCGTAAGACTCCGCGAATATAGAGGAGATGGGGGAGTAGGGGAGTCTGGGCGGGATGCTCCAAGACCAGTTCAGAAATCAGAGCCGTAGCCGCAATTCCAAGATGGTGCACTACACTCAAACACATGACACGAGGTGCGCGCTGTTGCTCGTAGAGCTTGAGGATGTTGGATATTTCTATCGAGTGTTCGATGCACAGCATATGCGCTCGGCTGCGGACTGGGGACCAGAAGTAGGAGTCGCTGCCCTCGTTCGTGCCGCCGACGCTGGGTCCAAAGACCTGCATCATCGAAAACGGCCGGTGGAGTACAATGTAGGTGGCATGTAACTGTAAACTACGAGGTGGTCAGTTCTCTAAGGCTTTGGACCATTGCTTTGCCGTGGCGACTCACTGGAGAAGGAAGAATCTGGGGTCAGCCTCCCGGACGTTGACCGCATTCCACTGGAGTCGTTCCGGCAGCCGGGCATGCCACTTTTTCAGCGCCTTGCTGCATACGGCCAGGTTCAAGTGGAGGTCTGAAAAGTCCTGCTTGTCTTGGGCACACACCAGCACTTCGACGATGTCTGCCGTCAAGCACATCAGGTCTGCTATGGCGGTGAAGACTCCCACCTGATACGTGTCCCAGTGCGGTGGACACTGGAGCACATCGGCAAAGTCAGAGTTTCTGATCATTCTGTGGCGTCCCAAAGATAAAGTGTAGTATCTACCGCTGTGTGAGTGGTGCAGGAGGTGGGAAATGGGGGGCTGGGTGCAGGTGACTGACCGATCACGCGAGACCAAGCCCCAGAAGAGCTCCTTACGTGCCTGTTGTGCCAGTATAGAATTGTCCGTTTGATTCCGATCCACGTGGATGTTCAGATCGAAGGCCATCCTGATGGCCGCGCCTAAACCATTCGTCAGTTCCATAGGTAGGTCATGCGCAACATGATTGAACGTACCGATAGTCATCCAAGCACTCCTTGATCGCCCCGCGCCACATTCAAGGTCAGACGCAACGCCCAGCGCCTGACAGAATGTCAAGGAGCCTGAATCACAGAGGTCGAAAGTCATCAGTCCGCACACTTCTCGGTGCAAGACATTATCCTGGTCCTTCCTGAGGAACGTCTGGATCCTATAGTCATCCATGTCGGCGTAGTACAAGCCGCGAGCAACAATGCAGAGATGAAGCAGAGGGCTGTAGAAGTTGGTGCGACCCAGGGCCTTGTCGGACATGAAGGCTTCCTCGTTCACGAGAGGATTTCGTTGGTTGCTATATTTGAAGTACAGGCTTGTGAGGTGGTCCTGTAATTCGGGTGATATGGACCGGAGGAGTGCAAAGGCGCGAGTATTGCGCTCGAAGGATTTTGTAAAGGGTAGATGCGCGTCATAGCGTGAGTGATGCTCGAGGGTCAAGTTGATCTCTTGTACAACCTTGACGCTGAGAAGATTCGACACCGTGTCGGTCAATTGGTCAAGGATGGCTTGTCCATGAGTGCCTGGACTGACGGATGCGCTGGGAGACGAATCTGTACGAGACTCGGTCGAGCAAGTGTCCAACCGAGAATGTGACCTCTTACGGGACTGGTTCACTGCTGGCATGTCTGGAAGCCTGGGGGATGCATCCGGTAGCTGTGCCTCGTTCGGCTGACCGAGCTGTGGGAGCGAGTCTTCGTCTTCGGGCCGCCTTTGCACATCATCAGCAGGAGCCGTCACGACTGAATCCAATGTGAAGTCCTGCAGCGAATTGAGCTGATTCGTCGAGTGCGATTGTTGTCGAAGCAATCCCTCGAGAAATTGGACTCGGGCGAGAAGGTCGTTCAAAGTGGCCTTGGAGTGTGGCCTTGTCCACGTTAGGAGGTGGGTTGTCAAGGCTGGATGCTGGATGCTCACCGTTTGCGCTCGTCGTCGTCTTTGAAGATACATTCGACGCCATGTCTTGAACACCTGTCGCACTGATTCTGATTCGGGGCCGTGATGCACTGAACATGGTTGAAGGATCAGCGCAGTCCAACGATTGTCGCAGAGGACGCCGACGAGACGACATAGAAGCAGGGAGAGAACTACTTACCCGCACGCGGTGTCTGCGACAATTGACACAAGCTGCACTCGCTTTCTTCCGTGACCGAGCGGATGCAGGTTGGCTTGAATGGTCCGGCATTCTTATTACCCTTGGCGGGTGACTTCTGCTTGTACGGTAGTTTCGCGGATAGACGACCGTGGACGCATTGCTAGAAGATAAAGGACGGCATCAGGAGATATCAAGTGCATAGATGGTAGAACAGTCAAGCAGACCAGTAGCGAATACTATATATCTATAAAATCGACGCGCCATTCGTAGATGCGCCTGAAGGGTTCTATCTCTTCTTATCGGGAGGGAGTACATATGCAAGACTGCGCCCGGCCAATGAAGTGCCTGTGGGTTCGTGGTTGTGTGGTTATTGATTGTTCAAGACGATAACCGAGAAATCTGGGAGGGGCGTTCCTCGGCGGCCCAGTCGCCTATGTAATACAGCCCCTGTGAGGGGAAGCCCGCTAGACACCTACTTTCCTACCTAGGTGAACAATCACCAAAGAACAAGACGAGGGTGTGTTCGCCAAGCTAGGTAAATCCCCGCGTATGCCTCCTTGTCAGTCCCATCCTCCCTCCTCCGACCCGCTTGAGTCAATTGTCCGCTACTTTCCTTCGGGCATCCAGTTCAATCGGTGTGAACTAGGCTAAAACGACCTGTTCAATTAGACGCATCGCAGCCAGCGTTTCCTCGTCTCGGTGGTGTTTGCCAGCGACTTCCAGTGCAATTGGCATTCCAGCGAACAATTCGGCATCATCTAAAAACCGACGTCAGCTGACGACTTAACCAGATCCTCGCCGTCGACGACCCCTTCAAGAGACATACATTTCGCGAGTTCACGAGCCTCAAAGTCATTTCGGGGTTGCGCGTTAGGATCCTCGACGTCCAAGTGTGCATCTGACACCAATTTGGTTGGAAAGACTGCGGCGGGAAAATCGAGAATGTTGTACAACCCCGTGTAGAAGCCGTAGGTGAAGTCCTCGGTCAAGACGGCGACCTGGTTGACGGCAGGCGAGAGAATGACATCAATACCCAGCTGCTTCATCTTTGCATGATATTCCTCTCGGATGGTGTTACGCAGCTCGTGTAGCCGCCAAATCTCGTGGATATCCATCTCGCGTCCCAGTCCCATGGCTCGTTTGGTCAGCTTCAACCAGGGTTCTTGGGTTTCTGCCAGAAGACCTTTTTGTACGGCCGCATTATCGGAAAAACACAGCTCGTACTAGATGCAAGTCAGTCAGACTCTTCAAGTGCAACATCCCATCTGAACAGCGTTCCGCAAAACTCACCAGCAGTGGCCGCAACTCGTCGTGTCTATGCCCGATCCACGGCACCAGTTTGACTCCAGCAGCCTTGAGCTTTGCTTGAGCCATTTCCATTGCCCGCCGCAACGGAGGGCTGGGTCTCACAATCCTATTTTCGGTCAGCAGAGCACGACTGAATTTCCACCCAAGACCTAGTGGTGCTTTCGTCACCATACCCATCGTCAACCATGACCCCGACAGAGAGGGTCTGTGGTGTAAATGCCTTCACAGGCCTCCACGGCAGCGGAACGAGGCTTGTCTCGACCTCCCACGGACTTTGACCCAGGACCGTCCTCATCATCAGTTCCAAATCATCGATATTGTTGGCCAATGGGCCGACCACACAGCGAACAGACTCCTGACCACCCCCAGCAAGCATGATGCCCTGTGGTTGATTCCCAGCGTGAGCACACATTCCTTGGATGCGGGATGCAAACACCACTACTGCAACTGACCTTGTAAGGCAATCGACAAGACGTGGGACGAAAGCCATAGACGCCACAGAGAGCCGATGGGATCCTGATTGAACCGGCAATGTCGGTGCCCGTTCCAATGGCAGCGCATCGCAGCTTGATGGCGGCTCCCTCGCCTCCGGATGATCCACCACTGCTCATGAGGCGGTTGGAAGGATTGACTGTCTTACCATAGATATTGTTGTTGGTGTCTCCATGCTAACAATAGTCTCACACCTCTCAGCAACGCCTCTCCCTTGTCATCATGATAGAACTGAGGGGGTGAAGGAGGTTTGTACCATTAATGTCTGGGGCTGGTTTGTTCGGAAGAGGATGACGGCACCGGCCTTCTTCATGAGAGCGACGATCAGCGCATCTTCGGTGACGACATTCTTCACCCACGCCGTATATGAACTGTGACAAATACGACCTTTGAGCCCAATATGTTCCTTTACATGGGAGAGGGTACAGTACGTTAGTTTAGGACAGGAGGAGAAAAAGGGCCAACTTGATGACTCCCACAACGCACCTTGACAGAGATGGGCACACCGTGCAACGGACCCACGAGCTTGCCTGTGTCCCGAAAATATTTGTCGAGTTCCCTGGCTCTCTCGATGGCTTCAGTCGCTAGAAACTCGGTTGCGAAGTTGACCTGTTTGTCGATGGACGAGAGCGGCCCTCAGGGTTAGCCTTTTCTCTCTCTTTCTCGTTCGACGCACAAGGGCGGGCGTTTTCATCGCCCTTCCTTACCAGCTGATGACCAATTACTGCCCGTTTGAGAAAGGCGACGGTCACCTCTTCGGCGGTATACTTGCCCGTCGCCATCGCCGCCGTCAGTTCGCCCGCTCCATTCTCCGTGATGGCGAGCTCTTTGGGGGAGAGAGCGCCACAGTCCGCGATGAACGTGGTCACATTCGACTTCTCCTCCGGCGAGGGTATTCGATCGTCAGCGAGAGCGTATCCGGCCGGGATAGATTTTGCGAGAATCTCTCTGCACTTTTGCGCCTCGGTTTCCCACGCTGCGGCCACCATCTTTGCTGTTTGCTCTTTGCTCTTTGCTTTCGTGCCGACGACAACGAGGTGTGCTTTCGTTGGTAACAGAGAGGCTTTGACCCTTTGACATTCCTACATTTTTCAAGCAACTTACTACAACACTTGATGCTCATCAAGAAAAATGTACGAATCACATAAAGAGGAAGTTGTTTATCCGGTTGCGATACCATACCGCGCCACGATCTATTCGTTAGACCCCACCCACTTTTGCTTCGACCCCTATCAACCTTATGCCCTAATTCCCTTATCCACCAGATACCGGATCCCTCTGGTGAAGGTGCATGATGGTAGACACACAACGCGGATTTACACGTTTTCCGGGGTACGAGGACGGTTGATACACGACGACCCGCCTTGCCCGCCCTAGACATGTGTATGCCACGGGAACCATGGCGAGTTCTCGCTCTCTGATAGAGATAGAGATAACCTTGAGCTTTGAGATTTGAGATTTGAGCTTGATTGATTTTGAAAAATGCCCCAACCTTTGTCCCTCCCAGCCAGCTAGATACAGTAGGTTGAGTAGCCAATCGTGTTCTGTACTTGGTAAATCAAGCTGTCAAGCGGAGGAAACTCCTGGATGCTGTGCTGGAGTCTGGGGAGCCAGTCAGTCGGACAATAGCAGAGCGAAAGTGGACTCAGTCGTTCGTTCGTTAACTGATTTCTCCCCCAAGGATTGATTGAGGGTCTACCTCGTGGGTGGGCAGATTTAATTCTCGCCACTCGTCATTGAAGCATACATATATACATACATACACACCTGTATAGCTGGCTCAGTCTGTCTCTCTGTCTGTCTGTCGTGCTGTCTGTCTGTCGTGCTGTCTGTCTGTC